AGAATGCAGAAGATCATCAAGAAGATCATACACCCTGATCAAGTGGGATTCATCCCAGGGATGGCAGGGATGGTTCAACATATACAAATCAATAAAAGTAATATACTGTATCAATAGCGCCAAGGACAAAAACCGTATGATCATCTCAACAGATGCAGAAAAAACATTTGACAAAATCCAACACACATTTATGATAAAAACCCTACAGAAAATTGGAATAGTCTTTATCTCAAGCTGATAAAAGCCATCTATGAAAAATCAATAGCCAATGTCATGCTAAATGGTCAAAAACTGAAATCTTTCAATGTAAAGTCAGGAACAAGACAAGGATGTCCACTATCACCACTTCCTGTTCTGGAAATATTAGCCACAGCAATTAGACAAGAGAAAGAAATCAAAGAAATAACGATAGGAAATGAAGAATTTAAATTGTCATTGTTTGCAAATGACATGATACTGTATATAGAAGACCCCAAGACCTCCACCAAAAGTCTTCTACACTCAACAACCAGATTCTGTAGAGTAGCTCGATACGAGGTTAACACACAACAATCAATAGTCTTCCTGTACATGAACAACAGGTTCACTGAGAGAGGAAATGGAGAAACAACTCCTTTCACAATAGCAGCAAAAAAATGAAATAGCTAGGAATCAATCTTATGAAGGAAGTAATAGATCTCTACTCTGAAAGCCACAGTACTCTGAATAAAGAGATCATAGAAAATATCAGAAAATAGAAAGAATACCCTTGTTCTTGGATAGGAAGAACCAATATAATGAAAACCTCTATATAGAGTTAATGCAATCTTGATTGAAATTCCAACAGCGTATTTCACAGAACTAGAGAAAACAATCCAAAAATTCATTTGGAACAAGAAGAGACCTAGAATAGCAAAAGCAATTCTAGGCAGTAACAACAAGGCAGAGGGTATCATAATCCCCAACTTGAAACTACTACAAAGATACTGTGATAAAAACAGCATGGTACTGGCAAAGAAACAGACCTGAGGATCAATGGAATGGATTAGAAGATGCAGAAACAACTCCAGACACACTTAGCTACCTCATCTTCAACAAAGGAACCAAACACCCTCACTGGAGGAAAGATAGCCTCTTTAACAAAGGGTGCTGAGGATCTGGATTTCAACATGCAAAAGATTAAAACTAGATCTATATCTTTCACCATGCACTAAACTAATATCAAAATGGATCAAAGATCTAAATATTAAAACAGAAACCCTAAACCTGCTAAAAGATAAGTTAGGTAGAACTCCTGAAGATATTGGCATGGGAAAAGACTTTATGAACGAAACCTCAATTGCATGGAAACTAGCACAAAGAATCAACAACTAGGATCTCATCTGATTAAAAAGCTTTCTGCACAGCAAGAGAAACCACCAACAGAGTGAAGAGACAACCCACAATGTGGGAAAAAAAATTTTACCATTTGTTCCTCAGACAAGGTCTAGTATCTAAAATATATAAAGAATTTACAGAAATCAGACTTCCCAAATTTAAAGACCTGATCCAAAAATGGGCATCTGAAATGAAGAAGTAGATGAAGTGGTAGAAATAGTAAAGAAACATATGAAAAAATGTTCAACATCATTGTTCATTCGAAAGATGCAAATGAAAACAATTCTGAGATTTCACCTCAGTCCAGAAAGAATGGCTGCTATCAAGAAATCAACCAATTACAAATGCTGGCGGGGGTGTGGGGAGAAAGGAACACTTTTCCACTCTTGATGGGAGTGTAGACTGGTGCAACCACTGTGGCAGTCAGTCTGGAGATTCCTCAGAGAACTAAGATTAGAAGTCCCATTTGACCCAGCTATTCCTCTGCTGGGTATCTTTTCAAAAGAATGAAAAGAATCATACCACAGCGATATATGCATACCCATATTTATAGTGGCACAGTTTGTAATAGCTAAATCTTGGAAAAAGCCCAAGCACCCATCAACTGGTGACTGGATAAAGAACATGTAGGGTTTTTTATAAAATGGAGTACTACTCAGCCATAAAGAGTGACAAACTAGAGACATTCATAGCTAAATGGATGCACATTGAGGCCATACTCTTAAGTGAAATAAATAGGACACATATGTGTAAATACCAAATAGTTTCTCTGGTGTGAGAAACTAAAAGTGTAGATGAGGACCAAAATGTATAATAGATAATGTAAAATAGGAAGAAAAGGACCAATAGGGAAGGGGAAGTAGATAGGGGGATGAAGGAAGGGAAATAAAAAAATACAAGAAAAGAAGGAAAAAATGGAAATAAACTTTTTGTAAATAGGGAGGGGTGGAGGGGTGGAAGGGAGAGTAGGGGACTGGGCTAAAAACAAGTACCAAGATACATCATATACAGATACAAATTCCCAATGTTGAATGTGATCATAATGTATGCCTAAGATGTACCAATAAACTTAATGGAAAAAAGGAGGAAGAAAATTTTGTTACATCTTATCTCTCCTTGCACTTCTCCAGTTACTTTTTGCTGAGTAGCTCAGCTTATATTTATAGCATATGAAGAAGGGGAGAGCTAACTTAAGACTGAATGTTATCACAAGCTTTTTTGACCTGTAATTCTTTATTTTCACATTGCATATTTCTAACAGAAATAAGTCATAATGAAGGGGTTGTAATGTACATATACTTAGATAAAACCCTGTACCTGTGGCTGTAGCAGGAGTTATCAAAGATTCAAAGAGCAATGGTAAGTCACAATGAGAGGAGAAAAGAACCAAAGAAATTAAGCACTATGACTTAAGCTTTCCAAGGGTTAAGACACAGCATGAACTTTTGTTCCTTGAAAGGATGCACATGATGGCATATCCCTTCATTTAAAGTCGAAGATAAGGAGAACAGGAAACAAATACCCTATCTACTCCTTTACCACAAGTTATTATTATTCTTGCATTTTTGTGTTCAAGGGCTATGTATCTCTGAACAGCCATGAAAAGGCTTCCTGGAAAACAAAAAACAAACAGAAAGAATATGTGTCCTGGCTCACATGGTTCTACTCTACCGGGGGACAGGAGGATCAGACGCTGGCAGACACTGAAATTATAAGGGTAGACACTGCATTTCGCAAAATCATTGAATTCTGAGCTCACTCGCGGTCCAAGGGAAGCCATGCAGGATGAGGATGGATACATCACCCTGAATATTAAGCCTCAAAAACCAGCTCCCTCCTCAGGTAAGAATGGAAATTAATTAGTGTAATGGGCCAATCCTGTTTTCTTTTTCTGTACTAAGGATAGCATGTTTAGTGTTATTTATTTATTTATTTTTACTAAGTGATACTCTTTCTCTGAAGCATTTGCATAGTGTCCATATAGGCTCAGAGGGATATATTTAGAATATAAACAGCAAAGATACAAGCAGAGGATATTACAATGTCTCCTAGAATTTAATGATGAAGATAATAGAGGCCAAGGGGATAAGGGAAAGGAATGTTTGAAAATTTCATTTTCTAAATGTCAGTAAATGGGTATGACTTCCCAGTTGTTGCTCACAAAAGCAATTATTTATGTAAGTGAACAAACACACAAAAAGACAAACACAAGAGACCTTAACATATAAGGCCTGTAGTTTGGTTTAGAAAGGGAAAATCTCCTGGGAGCGGTGATAGGAAGAGGTATAGGAGAGGGTTATGCTTTTTGTTGATGATCAAAATGAGAACACAGGCCAGAGATGCCAGGATACTTGCAAGATCCTGAGAAGACAGGGCAGGGATGGTACAGATGTCTGCTCCTTATTTCTTTATTATACTCCTGCAGTTGACCCTGCCTCCTCTTCTTGGTGGCGTGTGATGTCTTTAATTCTGCTCATCTTGTCCCTGGGGATGGTTGCTGCTCTGGTGGCCCTGGGGATTATGTGTAAGTATTGATTCTTTGCCAAATATTTGAGCAAGGAAGGTGCTAGCTACCTAAGGGTCTTGGTGTATCCTGGTAACCTTCTTGGTTTTTGCTCTTTTTCTATTTCCCAGTGTAGTAACCATCCTTGCTATAGTTGCCAATGCAGTCTCAAGAACGGAAAACTCTTAACTTTCCCTCTGATTAAAATCACTTTAAATGTTTTCATTAATTATAATTACTTTAAGAATTTAAAACTGGCCTTTAAGATTCTCCTCAGCATGGATCTAAACTACATTTTGTAACATTTTTCACTTTCATTCTGTCTTGCTAACTTTGAGACTCAGCCAATCCAACATTTTCTGAATTTCATGAGTAAATCCTACGTCTTTGTGTTTGAATTTTGCTGGATCTATTTATTCCCTTTACCTTAAAATATCCTCCTTCTCATTTTTGTTTATTGAAATAATTTTTCACTTCCTGTAAATCTTATTGCCTTACAATGTTGCATTGAAGCTTGTTGTATGTTTATTTTTATAGGTTAGTTTAGAAGTGTTGATTCATCCTGTTTTATTTATGGAACTATCACAGTACTTTACACATAATAAGAAACCAATATGCTTTCTTATATGAACATTTTGGTGTTACATGAAGAACAGAAAATAACTGAGGTCATTCAGTTCTGTAAAGTTTGCTTACAAACATGTATATAAGGAAATGTTAGAACAACTGGTTTGGGAATGTTATTTGATCTTGAGAGTTTCATATTTATGATTGCCTCCTTTAAATAATTTACTTGTTCTTTTGGATATCACTGAAGTGTCTTGCACATTTCTTATTTTCTTCGTGGTCCCCTTCACCCTCATCCATTTCCAGTTCATTTACTCATGTGTCTCTAGTAAACTCTTTATATATTGGTCATTCTATTGAAGTGAAAATTCATTGAAAAGTCCTTGAATCACCTTTATAATCCAGATTACAAATTATAATTTATCTAATTTCCACATCTAGCTGTCACACAACAAAATAACCTACAAGCTGAGAAGGAAAATCTCTCAGGCACTGTGCAAAACTTAGCGAAGAATTTCTGCCAACATATAATACAACAACTGGAAGAAAACCAAAAGCGCAGTGCCGGTACGTGTGCTTTGGTATCCTCCACATCTCCCCAGCTCCAGGAGTATTTCTGTGATGGAAACTGGAGAGAATCTTGAGATTGTCAGGAAACACTTGGGGGGAGGGCTGGAAAAGTAGGCAGCTTCAGAAGGAAGAGGTCCCCATGCTCGGTTTCTCCTTCAGATCACAAATGCAGTCCCTGTGATACAAACTGGAGATACCATGGGGACAGTTGCTATGGATTCTTCAGGCACAATTTGACCTGGGAAGAGAGTAAGCGGTATTGCTCCAACCGGAATGCAACCCTCACGAAGACTGCCAGCAAGAACATTCTGGTGAGCAGAGGTTTACGTCAGATATTCTGGAGGAATAAAGAGAAAAATCTTAAATGTAGCATTTGATGATTTTTGCATTTTTTTTTCTTACATCTTGTAGTCTTTGCTAATCTAAGAAACTCACAATCTCAGTAAAAATCAAAGAACTCAAATTCTGAATCCAGGTTCCTCCCCAGAATTGCCATAGTTAATCAATGAAATTGGCTTGTGCCTTCCTAGGAGCTGAAGCACACAGTGAGTCAGACAGGGGGAGTCAGCCCAGGGGTGAACGTCATTCGGCTCAGCGTTCTGGGATCCTGGAGGCTGCTTCAGCTGCTTGCTCCTCCCAGACTCATGGAGAAAACAGATAAATGAGCTATTCTTCCCACTGAGGCAGAACAGGAGAATGCCCTAAAATCTCACTGCATTTTAAAGAGATTCATGGGAAATGTAAAAGCATATTCTGAATTTTATTACTCTAGCCTCACGGCAAGTTGAAGATTTATTATTAAGAGAAAAAGTAATATATTTTTTGAGGAATAAAGAATTGTGAAATTTCAGGTAGAGTTTACCTGTCATGTCCTATAGTAAATTATATAATATGGACATATTTCAAAGGAAAACTCAAGAATTAACAGCAAGGTAATAGATGCTTTGGACCTTAAGAAATACGCAGCCGAATGTGACTCTGACATATTATCTCCTGTGTAATGTCATGCTTAGCCTCTTACGTCTGTCAAGAAGCACAAGTCATTTTTTATTGTCTAAGTACAGATCCTACCAATCATATTGAGAGACATGAGACATTTGGCTACTTTTTAATTTAGTCACCAATCAATTAATTGTTTGCCTATTTGTCTGTTAATTTAACAGTTATGTGGTACCTATTCCAGGACATGGACATATATATTTGATAAAACAATAATCCCTAATTCCCAGAGGCTTATATTTTAGTTGGGGCAACAGGAAATGAACAAAACAAATACATTTAGAATGTTGGATAATAGTAATAATTTCTAACTATAAAAAGTATGTCAAGAAAGGTATTTGTATTCTGAAACAACTCAAATTGGTACAGTTCTAAATGTCAAGTATAATCCATTAATATTTATATAGAATATAATCTAATAAATATTAGATCTGTGTAGTGTCTTATTAAGACTTTGCCTTTTCCATTACCAGAAGCTGTGAAGGCATTCTGACCATTAAATGTGTTTGTGTTTGCAATAGGATTACATCAAAGACAGGACTGTTTTCATTCGTTGGGTTGGATTATCCCGCCAGAATGCTGATAAGGTCTGGATGTGGGACGATGGATCAGTTCTCTCCAAAAATATGTAAGTCACTGGACACATGGAACAGAAGGCAGCCCTAGAAATCTGAGACTTTCCTTTCTCCAGTACAAGTCACTGGAAAGATGACATGTTTGTCTATATCCTATTATGGGTTTTGTAAGCAACAGCCTACTCCAAACCAGGGGACACTCACAAGACAACTCTAGTTCTCTCTTTTTCATTCTCTTTATCTCAACTATGATTTACCTTTATTCTCTGTTTTCTTCATTCATTTCTATGTTTGACTTTACCTTTAGAACATTCTGTGTGCATGTTTGTGTGTGTGCATGTGTACGTGTTTATATTCAACTTGATCTCACTCTCATCCCATATTTTAAAACAAAATTGTCATCTTCATTATTTTATAGTTGAAAGTTAGTGTCTTAAGAATTCTTTGGACTTTTCCTACTCTTTATCCTTTGTCCAAGAATCCAGTACATTGCAAGCCGCAAGGTGTTTCTAATATTTATGGATTGAGACTCCACCCTTCTGCGGACAATCCAAGCAAATGGCCCCATTGGATCAGCAGTCAAGTTTTCAAAATGCTTTCCAATCTCTAAGCTCAACACCTGTGGCTCACCTTATCAAAACTGCAGCCTCTTTATCATTAAAGTTTAAATTCATAACCAAAACTCATACAATTTTAGCATTGCCTAAATTTTTAGGTGTGGTCAACTCATATTTATTTCTTACTTGAGATTGGAACCTAGGATACCATCAGTATAAGCAAGCCTCTCGCCAAACTTGGCCTTTATGTTCTGCCATTTGCTGCCTCTTGCACAATATCTCTCCCTGTTCTTTCAACAAATCAAACCTTCTGTTTTTCTTTAAGGCTTTTGCCCTTGCCATTTTCCTCCTCAATGTTCTGCTTCCACAGCCCCACGCCTGACTTCCCCTGTGAGTTCAGTCTCTGCTTAAATATCACTTCTTCAGTGAGGCTAACTGTAATTACCCAAATTCAATTGCCTTCCCTTCAACCCATGTCTTTATTGGCTAGCCTATCGTCACTGTTTTGTTTCTATGTAATTCTTATCACTCTGAGGTTTTCTTGTCTATTTATTGAGGCTTCTTACTAATGCACCCCCATTGTATCATTAAATTCCTCAACATTCAGTTCCCTTCCCCCCCCTCCTTTCTCTTTCTCTCTCCCTCTCTCCTTCCTTTTTCTTTATCTTTTTCTTTCTGTTTATTGCTGTATGGAGAATTGAACCCAGGGCTTTTGCACAACCTCAAGTACTTTTTTATTTTCATTTTTTCCTGTTTTTATTTTGAGGCAGAGTCTTGCTCAGTCACTAAGTTGCCCAGCCAGGGGTCAAACTTGTGATCCTCTTATCTCAGCCTTCCAGAATGGGACTTTGCCTTTCTTTACCACTCTATTCTCAGTACATTGAACAATTTTGGAGCATAGTTGCTATTCCTTAAACATTTGGCAAATAAACCAAAGAATATTCTCAGCAAAAGGAGTCCAGTAAATGATACAGACAAGTTAAAGAGCAATTACATTGTAGCTTACCATTTTAGATCTACTACCCAATAATGTAAATTCTCAGTTTAGAAGTATTTATTGAGCTGTTTTCCTTGAGCTTATTTCTACATTGTGTACTGCTTTCCCTACAAGAATCTCCTATCTTTTCTCTTGTTTATCTGAACCCCACTCTTCCTTCATATATAAACTAGTCTGATCTTGTAGCTAGAGCCTTTGTCATCACATCACAGCTGTGTTCGTCTCTTCTTTTGGACTTCCATTATACTGGGTCTTCACTTGCTCCTTGACTTTGAGTTATGGAACTTGATTAAACTGTAATAGGGCTTTTCGTATGTGCATGCTTTGTACCTCAAACAGATTGGAAGTTTCTCAGTAATGAAAATGGTCTTCACTCACAGTTTCACTGTTGTTTATTCATTTTTCAAAGGAAGGCACTCTACCTTTTTTATTCACAGGCTTGAGTTTTTCGAAGATGGAGGAGAAAATATGGATTGTGCTTATTTTCATAAAGGGAAAATCTACCCTACCTTCTGTAAGAACAGACATTATTTAATGTGTGAGAGGAAGGCTGGAATGACAAATGTGGACCAACTACTTTAATGCAAAAAAGATGCACATAGTATAAGACAAATGTTTGTATAATAAAATTTCTGGATGAAGGAATCCTAAGCCACAAATTTGCTTATTTTTCCTTTTTTTCCCCTGGAATCATTTTTTATATTACTTTTGCTTCCAACCCCACTCACTTCAATTGCTCTATGTTCCATTTTCTTTCTTCTTGTCTTCCACTTCTAATTACTGTGTTTGAACATACTGTAATTCCCTGCATCTTCAGATATATGCATATAAAATTAAACTTAGGACAAGAAACGATCAGACTTAAATGATTTAAGTTATACAAAATATCTAAGTTAGAAAGACAGCATAAAGTAGAAATGATACTAATTTTGATATATAAAGAGTAATTGAAATAGTATGGTTGATTAACTAACGAACAGCCATGAACCAGTCATGTCGCCTCTTTAACTTCCATTTTTTCACATTTAAAATGGGATTTAACTATATCAGAAACTCCATGTAGACTGACACCATGACTTCTCTATTCTCCCTTCTATTATTAGCACCAAGCACAGTTTCTGATCCTCAGGAAACAACAACAACAAAAATGTGCTTTTAATTATGTGAGATTGTTCATTAAATATACCTTAATCAGTAAAACACTACAAATGGAGTTACTATTCCAAGTCCACCTCTGATCAGACTCAACAGGAGGAATTTTCTGTGTAAAAGCAGGAAAATAAAGTTTGCAAGAAACTTCATAGGGTTTGTAAAATGAATAAATGCTTCTAAACAAGAGGCCAGGAGGCAGAAGAACATGTAAATGTTTTATCTAGTTCTTTTCCTGGAACTTCTATGTTTGGCTTTTGCTGAATAACTCAGGAAATATTTATGGAGTACGTGGAGAGACAGCCTTTATAGGATAACAGCCAAAAAATGCATTTCCCGCCCCGTCCCAGTTTCCCTTCTTGAACTGGTGTGGATACAACTGATGGCTCTGCCTCTCAATCATTTCAACTGAGGTGTTTTCTAAACTTGATGATTTACAAACTCAAATATTAATGGTATAGTCAGAAAGATGAGACATGGAGATCCATATTTTTAAGAAACATCTCTATCTGCTTCTTACAAAAGTAGACTTGAATATATTTCAAGAAACATTACTTTAGAACTTGCTCCCTGTGTGGTTTTGGAGAAGCTAATTTAGCTGCTTTAAAGCACAAGTTTTCTCATCTGTGAAATGGTATTCATATTATTACTTTACTGGTAGAATAACTGTGAAGATATAAATATTATAAAGTAGTGATCAGAACATCAAGCACAGAGTTAGTACTTGGTAAATATATGTTACTTTTATAGCTTTATGCACTAACACTTGAACACAGTTGAACTTTACTATCTTTAAAGTGTCAATAAACATGAAGCTTGAACAATAAACAAAAGGTTTGAGAAGCTGAAGATAAATAGCAGAACTTCCTCAGACTCTCTTTGCCACTTCTTCAAGTATCTGGAGAACTTGGCTTTGGGAGAATTTTCTTTCTTTCTTTCTTTCTTTCTTTCTTTCTTTCTTTTTCTTTCTTTCTTTCCTTCTTTCTTTCTCTGCTGGGTATTGAACCCAGGGAATTGCACATATTATCTTTAATTTTTCATTTAGATAAGCTAAGTAGGAGGAACTCAGAACTCAGAAAACTGTCCCCAAATCAACCATATCTCTGTTTCTTTTCTCCAGAAAGGAAAATGATATATTTATATGCCACTATGGCACCCACAAATTTAGAAGAATAATGTATCAGTTCATGGTTGAAACACAAATAAAATATATAAACCAATTAAACTGTGCCTACAACAATTATTTTTTTTCTGGAACTTCTATCTAAAACATATATGGAATCAAAATAATGTAGATGTTAATAGCAAAAATTCTGTGATCAGATGACTTAGTTTCAAATATTTAATGTGAAACCTAGTAAATGAACTTCAGAAAAATTTGAGTTCTCTATGCCTCGATTTGAACTGTTACACTATGTTAATAGTAATGCCCATTTCAAACAGCTGCTGTGAAAACCAAAATAATTCATGCAAAAACTTGAAATAGTAATCAAGATGCAATGAACAATACCAGGTAGTGTGATTTAAAAGATAAAAAGTAATGTAAGGAATATGTTAGTCTTTTATTGAGAAAGCCCAATTCCCCTCAATACGTTAATCAGAGAATAGACTGTATTAGGGAAAATCCAATCTCTCTGAGCCTAACTGCTAGTGTTGCCACTAGAAATGAATGATGGCTAATTGAACTTTTGTTCCTGACATTAGTCTCATTACACAGCTGTTGTGGTTATGGTTTCTTCTTTTTCTCCTCAACATAGAACTTCACTCATTTTAAAGGCTACACGGAGCCCTTATTTTTAATATGACATTCTCAGGGCACAGGAATATGAAATCTTTGGGGAATGTGCTGGGTATTTTTCATTTGTCCCTTCAGACCCTCTCATGGGAAGCTGAACTCAAATGAGCACATTATGTGGGCAAACTTGGCTTTTGGCTTCCAGTAAATCCAAGCAATGGCAGGCACTGGCAATAAGCAGAAGTAGGATATTTCTCTCTCTGTAGTGCTTGGCAAAGGCTGAATGTTCTATGTCTTAGCCTGTGGGCTCAGGTTGCAAAGTTCTGATACATACACTCCACTTAGTCCTTTAAACCTGAGGCAGATAACAGTTTCTCAGTGCACATTTCACTACCCCCTTTTGTTTCTTTTAATCTTCTCCAAAACTCTCTACGCAGTCCTTTTGGTAAATTCCCTTTGATCTCCCCTTGAGTGTGCCTTTGTTTGTTTCTGAAAATCTGACTGTTACTGGACAGAATCATGATCCACTGAGACACTGAAACAAAAAGAACTTTGCAATTTTGCAGGTCTTGGGGACTTGCAGGCAATACATTACTGAGACATTACTTTTAGTTATAAAGAAAAAATGGCCCAAAGATGATGATGTTCAATGGGTCAAATTTCTCAGTACCAAGGCTGCAGTCACAAGATGTGACAGAAATGGTCATCTGCCCACTAAATAATTCATACCTCTAGAGAGAAGTTGAAGCTTGCTGCTCAAGCAAAAACTACATTTTTCAAGTCCAACCTTCATATCCATATGTGAACATACCCATGGTAGATTTGATTGTGATACATTTTACTTCTAGATTTTAGCTTTCAAGTAGCAAGTATTCATTTTGTACATGTACCCACTCCCCATGAGGAATATAATCATTATTGTACTGCAAACATGTGTTAATAAAAAAATTTAAATGGAGAGGAAAAAATAAAATAAAATTCTTTGGTTGCAAAAAAAGCAAGTATGGATTCCCCACTTTCTCCTTCCTTTTCCAGTGGATAGTAGAGATTTCCAATGTCTCCAAGATAGAAGGTCAGATCCCCTTTGGAGGAAAACTACCCACCAACCAAGATTACTGGAACTAAAATGTTTTGTGGGTGAGAAATAAATGTTTATAGTGTGAACTGATATTTTTAGGTTTACTTTTTACAGAACTTAGCATGCTAATTAATATAGAACATACAAATTTATTTCAGTATTAGAATCCCTTCCTAGCTTTCTTGTTTAATGATACAAAGTGGTCAACACTGTAGTTTGCCCAAGATGAGCTACCGCATATCCTCTATCTAAGATAGGCTTCAGGTCCTTTGCCAATAGACGTGCCCTCTCTGCACTTGTGTTCTTTTCATTTTAATGCTAATCCAGTGCTACAGCCTTCAAATCTGCTACAATTTAGAAACAAAAGCAATAAGATGTTTTATCATTGGCCATTTTGAGTTCAGTGCCTTCTCATTTCATCCTTTATCAAATTGTGCTTTGGTTTGAACTTTAAAAACTTCCACTTTCTAGAAGAAATGCACCTGTATGCTCATTAAACCATATGTATTTTCCCACTACTGTGAAAAAGCAGCCAATTTCGGTTCTTTCACCAACGTGCTCAACTTCCTCAACCTGTATCAACCTCCTGCATCATCTTCTTTATCTATCAAAGCATCTTAGTCATGCATGAGGAAGAAATATACACCTCTCTTCAGTGGGATAATCAAACATCACATTCTTCTCAGAAATGTCTTTCTTCCACCAAAATTTCAGGTAACCAGGTTTAATTATTAGTTTATGTTCTGCTTCTTGTTCTACTAGGAGTCCAGGATGTTCCTTCTATTCTGAGATAACCTACTTAAAATATTGCAATATACTTGCCTGATACACTAAATAAAATAAAGTGGAGGAATAAGTAAGGATGAAGAAGAAAAAGAATGCTGAATTCAACAAATATGTGCCTCACTTTCTTTATGCCCCAAAGGCAATTCCTAGATTGAAAAGTAAATGAAGGAAAGCATATAATTTAATTATTTTACTTCTTACAAAGAATCTCTGTAAATCTTCTGATAAGTACTAAAAAATGAAGAAAAAACATGTTAAAAATGCAAAATCTCATTGCTCTAGAGCTGTCTTCTATAGTGATCTGTTATGTCTGCACTATATAATATCCATATTTATTTGTATTTTGTTGGTGTAACAAATCACTAGAGACTACAACTTTATTATTTTATAAAACTCCAGAATTTAGAAGTTGTACATACTTTCCCTCACTCACTTTCATTCTTCTTATTGCATTTTTAGGAATATGGTGTACTCTGATGGTGATTTCCTGTATTTTCTGTGTGGGCTTATTAACTACATCTATTTTCCTGGGAATCAAGGGTAAGTATAAAACCACATCTTCAAAATAATTACATATATGTGTTATGAACTACATATAGCTGTATATGTACTTATATCTGTATCAATGTACATATAAAACTTCAGAATTTATAAGTAGATGAAAAATCAATTAAGAACTATCTGAGTACATACAAATAA